TATATTAAATGTATTGGTCTCAGTCTTCAAGAGGTTTAGTTTATTTTGTCTTGAGTCAAAGTCTTGTGAAGAGTTGACATTTTGCTTCTAATATGCTAACAACATGGGAAGATAACCCGTTTAAAAGCAATTTTTTTAATTACCATATTTTTCAGACCATAAGGCGCATTAAGCAAAACAAAACAATCCGATAAGTCAAACTTTATTCAACTCATTCACAATAACTACATAAAATCGGTTCAAGGTCAGTAAGTACAACCGTAGTTAATACATAAGATGCACCTGACTATAAGGCTCATTGTTGATTTTTGAGAAAATTAAAGGATTTTAAGTGTACCTTATAGTCCGAAAAATACGGTGTTGAAACACATTCAAGTAAAAAAAAAAAAACAACCTTAGAGCCATTCATGTGAGCGCTACGTTTTATCTTGAGTAATTTTCTTTTGCATCACATATTTGTGCAGCTTGAGTATGCCACAGATGTAATTTTGATCTTTCAAAATGTCATCTCCAAAACACAGTGGTTCACAGATTTTTAATTCAGAGGACAGAAATAAGAAATCTGTGGGATAACTCGTTGGTTTGTTAAGAATATTTTTGTCACAGATGAAGCAAATCAGAACTAATTCATCTATGAGCTATGTTTAAGGTTTTTCCATAAATAGTTTTTGATATTGTGAAATTATTTTTTTTTTTTACATTTAAATGGTAAAAGATCCGCACTTTAAAAAGTGTATTTTGATTGACAGAGCTGTTTGCAATGTTTTAGTTGTTGATTCACACATGATCTCTTTATATATGAAGACTTTTATTGCTACTAACACACATTTTGGGCAGTCTGATATTTGTTGCTGTGTCTGAGCACACTGCAACATGCAAAACTGGTAAACTGGGCCAGTAATAAGACTGACGGGAAAACAAATGGTCAGCGATGGGCACAGTTAACCAAAAAGTCAGTTTCGTTAACCCATATTCCGCTAACTAAAAAATGTACTTTGCTAACGTTAAACCACTTAACGGTGAAAACATTAGTGGAAGTTAATGCTAAACTGCTAACCGCTGAGATGACTGTCACTCATTCTGCGTCACATGTCTTCATCTCCTAGTTGAAGATGCGTTGACCAATCACGTCTTGTCACGTGTACACGTAATAAACCAATGACGTGCCTAGCGGACTTTTCGAGACACGCCCACAACAGACAGGAACAAGCTTGTGAATTTTGTTAGTGAACGTAAAGTTGGCGAAAGCTAATTCAGCTAACAGTTTCCAAAGTTAGCAAAAATGCTAATCTGCTAAACGAAAAAACTACTTCTGCTATTAGCCGTTAGCGGATTAGCTCAATTGTGCCCACCACTGAAATTGGTCTTTTTTTTTTCCAAACACGCTAACTTTTTACATTTAGGAGTTTTTTTAAATCATGCTAGCTCTGAGAAGAATTTTCCTCATTCAGTGCAACCCTCCAAAACCCATGAATTAGTAGTTTACGTGATAGTTTAATGTTTCCAACAACTGGCTGTTTATAGTAGCTCACTGGAAATCTGCTCACTCTTTTTGAATGCTTTCTGTCAGGATCTGTTTAATCTAATTTTTCTTGATAGCATTTTGTGTTATTTTTAGATTTATTTTATTTGTTAATGTTTTCTAGGTGTCTCAGTATTTTCCCAGTGTCCCCTGTACCATAAAGTGCATCTTCCTCAGTTTCTGCTCTTCAGCTCTTGCCCCGCCCACTCTCACCTGTTCCCGCCCACTCTCACCTGTTCCCAGTCGTCATTTTGCTCAGGTGTCTCCACTCCACTCCTCTCATCCGTCTCTGTCCATAAAGTCCCTCACCTTTTACTTCACATTCGGTCTGGCATTGTGTGTGCTTCATGTCATGTCCTGGTCTCCTCAGTGGTTTCTCAAAGTTTGTTAATTTGTAGTTTTACTGCCTTTTCAGCCTTTTGTTTTGTTTAATATAGTGACCCCTCACCGATCGCGGGGGTAACATTCCAGAAACGCCAGCGATAGATGAAAATCCACAAAGTATCAACGTATATTTATTTTTAATATATTTTATATATATTTGAGGCATTATAAACCTTTCCCACACTCCAACACACCTTTCCCATAATACACTTCATACGCTCTTAAACACTTAAGCAATGGTGATGATGACAATGAGGTGACTGTACAGTACTGCACAACATGTACAGTACACACAATATAAAACAAACAAAAACAAACAAAAAAACTGAAGTCGCAAAAAGTGAACCGTGATAAGTTTTTGTCTGAGCTTCTCGTGCCGGTCTGTGTACCTGGGTCCAACCTTTACAAAGTGTGACACTTTCAAGCATCTGTTAGGATTCAAAGTATTACTGTGGTTGTATTTTCAACTACACTGATCAGGTAAAGTGATAATGTTGTTCCATATTTCTTTAAAAAAATCTGGATCCCATTGATTGCATGAGTGTTACATTTTTAACCAGTAACACCAACGAAATCTCCATAGGAAATGTTTAAAGAACACAAAAAAAGTAACCTCTAAACTTTTCAGACACAAATAGTATAAAAGGCGATGGCATTTGTGCTAAAAGCCCTGGTACTGCACCCCATGATGCCCCACACTTCTCAACCTCCTTACTCTTTACCCCAGCCCTGCATGGAGAGCTTTTCAGACGGCACATTATTGAGCAGGTTGTCATGATGTTGTAGTTGATACGAGTCACGATGGCAGTGAAGCAAGGTGTGTAAGGTCGTCATGCTTCAATAACATAAAACATGTACAGTATCTGCTTTGATGTGTCAAAAAGTTGGCACTTTGAAGGGAAAATATGAGCTCTAATCAACAAAATAACAAGTGAAAAATTATTACAATAGAAGCTGAAATTTTTAAATGAGGATACTGAGCGGCACGGTGGCTCAGTTGGTAAAGCTGTTGCCTCTGTGAGAAGGTTGCTGGATCAAATCCTGGCTCAGGACCTTTCTGGGTGGAGTTTGCATGTTCTCTCCGTGCATGTGTGGGTTTTCTCCAGGTACTCCAGTTTCCTCCCACAGACCAAAAACATGCATGTTAGGCTGATTGGTAAATCTAAATTGTCCCTAGGTGTGAGTGAGAGAGTGCATGGTTGTTTGTCTCGTTTGTCTCCATATGTGGCTCTGTGATGGACTGGAGACCTGTTCAAGGTGTCCCCCACCTTTCGCACAGTGATAGCTGGACATATGCACCAGTGACCCCAGCGACCCAAAAAGGAAGAAGCGGGTAAAGATAAAGGATGGATGGATCAGGATATACTCACAACGAGTTTCACAAGAGACCAAGGTGAATTTAAACCAAAGTCTTTGAATTCTGCATCACGTCCGAACACTTTATTGAGTTTGCATTTGAAATCACTAAGCTGTTTGGCAAGTTTTCTAAAACCAATACTTGACAATGTCCTATGTTTTTTTTTTGCTTTTTTTTTTGTCACCAAGTCTCAATAACAGCTCCGATTTATGGCAAATAAAATGGAAATTTACAAACAACGAGCTCAACTAAGCAGAGAATGACTAATGAATGAAGAAAACAACATAATGACTAGTATACCAATAAAAACAGCTGGGATTTGTATGTTCACTTGTTACCGGACAGGAAATAAACAAGGACCTTCTTGATAAACATCGTCATCCTGCAGATGATGCTTTTCAACCTCATTGAGACTGCTCACTTTGCCCTTCACACCCTAAACAATATAGCATTGTTTTTCTTTACCTTAACCATTGCAATCTGGAAACCAGCAGACTTTGCGTCTACATTTGGAGAATAAGTGCTCAATAAATAAAAACAATACAGAATATGAATATTTAAGTTAACTAAATGGCTGCTTTTGTGGCTGCAGAAGACTCTCAGCTAGTTGACAGTTAATGCACCTAATGGCCCTCATATAGGTGTTTATGGTTGCTGCTTTTAGCTTTCTGACCACTGAACTATTTCCAAAGATTTTTGTTAATATGAGTATTACACACACACAAATAAAGTCAGAGTGAAATAATTGAATTTTTCTTCAAGAAGCATCTCTAAAGTGATTAAAGCGTCACAGAAATCCTCTTCAGTTCAAATCCATATTTGCTCTTCTCTTTTTCTCCTCCAGAACGTTAATGAGGTGTTCTGTCCAAATAACTGGATCCTGGCTCTTCATCAGATCCTGCTCATCCTCCTCATCTTAGGGAAGTGGCTTCTCCCCCTTGGAGACGGCGTCACAAAAGACCAGCTGTCTCAGCTGCTGCTGATTTTTGTCGGCACAGCAGCCGACATCCTGGAGTTTACCAGTGAGACGCTGGATGACGTCAAGTACGCTGCTCGATGTTCTGCATGTTGCGATTCTCAGTGTTCTGTGAATTTTTTTGAGTGGACCATGCAAATAAAGGGATTTCAAATTAAAGGGATTGTTCAGATATTTTGAATTGAGATTCTGTGGAGAGGTTACGAATAATTCATACCAACTTCCATAATTTTGGATAACAATTTTCATGCTTGAGTCTGAAATGTCTGTATGCATGTGCATGTCGTTGAAATACAAAAATCACAGCACCAACTAGTGATCTTGCATGGAAACTCCTGTGGATTCAATGTGCACAATAATTGTGTAAATTTTCCACATTCATCATGGGAATATCTCTGTTTCCGGAGGTCGTTCATGTGTAAACTTGGCCTCAGTTTGGAGAAATACTGTAGTTTAATGCTACATTCCATTTGTTCTTGGCATTTCCGAGATCCAAGTGAAAACAATTAACTGAGACACCCTCTGAATTTGAAAACCCAACTTCGAAAGTCAGAAAATCTTACCAACACTAACCTCAAAATCTAATATATATAGCATGCAAAGCTTTAGCTGCCGTAATAAACGCTTTATTTTGACTTCTATCAGTTTGCGTCTCAGTAATCCATTTACACACATTGTACTTTATTAGACGTTTGTTTGAACGCCCAGATAAAGGAAATGATCGACGTTGTTAGCTTGAATTGTCAATAGTTATCCTGGCCATTGAGCACATTTATTAACAAATCTTAACAGGTTCACAAGTTGCTACTGGAATTTGGTAAAGCTGGGTTTGAGGTCATACAGCGATCTGAGTTTTGAGGTAAACAGAACCAGCAAAACTATAACCAGGCTGACAAGCTAGCTATATAACACAAAGAAGATTGCTGCCATCTTAAAACAACTCCAATCTCAAATACTTTGCAGCAATTCATGCAAATGTTACTTTATGAACATAAAAATTTATTATTGCATGGCTATTTTAATAAAATGGGTTTTTGCAAGAGCAAACAGTGACAACTACAGTTAGCTGTAGCACTTTCTATGCAGCCTGGCATAATTCCACTAGGATTGCCATATTTCTGGTGGCACAGCGGCATAATAAAAAAACTGACAATATAGTAAATGTTAGTAATAAATATCTTGCATGAACAATTGTGATTTTTTTGGGAATAGAGTTGTTTTAAAATTGCAACATTCCACTTTGGTCTTTGGTTCGCTCAGACTGCTAGATCAGAAAAAAAAACTATTTTTCTTACGGTCAACACAAGGCCATCCACAACAAGTAAGATATTCATTGTTAATACCCTTTCCACAGAACCCCACTTCAAAAGTGGTATTTCTTCTGAAATGTCTGATTTAAACTAAAGTGTACACTTGTGTCTATCTTCTGCAGAGATAACTCTCCTCAGCTGGTCTACATAATCTTGGCAGTGTGGTCGTGGAGCATGCTGCAGTTTCCCTGTCATCTGTGTGGTCAGTATCGTTGGTGCCTATAAGGCACTAAGCAGGGACACTAATGTGGGAAAAACTAAACAATGTTTATAAGAGAAACCTTCCAGTCATGTCTGGGCGGAGGCATAGAGTAAACAGAGAAAAGTAAATCAGCTGGAATCACTTGCTCTCTCGTCTTAGTTGCAGTTTCTTTTTGTTGTTTTATCTGGAGACAAAAATCTGTTTTCACTTCCCATGAGTTATGAATGTCCCCAAGAGGGTTTTTATCAAAAATACATGTCCAAACCGTAAGTTGTAAAACCATATCTGATCAGAAATGAGTGCTGAAGAGGTTTGAATGAAGGCTGGTTATTGTTCAGTCATTATCAGCTCTAGGCCGTGCTGAAACAAGGAAGCCATTACCAGAAAAAGCCCCACATATTATTTATTTATGTGTTTTTTGACTGGTTATAGTAAGCACATAAAATGTAAACCTATAGCCTGAGGTCTGAAGAAGCAAATGAAGAAAGAGACATAAGTTTGTTATTATACTTACCACACCAGACTAATGATCTAAATGGATTTAGGCATGTTAGATGATCCACACTAAATGGATGCTGATACTTTCCTCTTTGATAAAATGACACTGAATATTGCAGTAAAGGGTGAAATACATAGATTTTAACTGATGTTTTTTTTGGAAGTGCGTAATCTGTTTGTTTTTCTTGTAAAAGTTGCCTTTTTTACAGGCACGTTATGTTGAAATACTGAGTAAACACGCAACATACAGAAACAATATGTTCAAACATGCGAGTTTCTGACTCGTTCTTTTACCTCAGATATTGTCTCAAGAGAGGGATGTTTCCCAAACTATCTTCAGATGTTTGCGTTATCTTCATCAGCAGACAGAGTCTGTCCACTTGTCCTTAACAGAGGTTAAAAATGTTAATTTTGATGACAATATCATTGGAATTCTTCATGTTTTCCCAAGATGATGCTTGATAATGAAAATTATGTGATGTACACATATTTAAACATTACACATATATATGATTTCCACAGGGGAAAAAAGCACCCATTTAAAGGAATCTTATCACAGATCAAAAGAGGAAGGACATTTGTAACTCTCTTGAGCGTTTAAAACCACAGAACTTTTTCTGTGAGTCATCCCGACAAAGTCCAGATGTGCTGCACGAATCTAAGCTGGGAATGATCTAAACCTCCAGAGCTGTTCATTACCAAGACAACAGATAATTAATTACAAGCAGTTTGATACTGTATGCTTATTTAATTCTAATAAACGACGACGTCCAATCTAACACCAGCTTCTCCAAATGTTTGCTTACAGTTACTTTTAATGTGCACGGTTACGTAAGAATCAAGCTCAGTGGAAGTGAGCTGAAAGGAAGCGGAGGTCTGCTGGAGTCCAGTTAAACATTTTGAACTAATCAAGTTTCCTAATTGCCTGAAATGACTTGAAATGATCAAAGTGGCAGCCACGAGTGGAGCTGAGGAGTTCCCAAGATATAAAGAATAAGAGCTTAGTGCATTTATTATTATTTGCTTCGGCATAAATGCAATTCTTCATGAAAGGTGCAGACATACTGTGGTTATACTCGTGCTAATTGAGATTTTTATTAATAAATGACAGGACAAAGAGAATAAGTAGCTTTTTAAGCTGAGCGCTATTTGAAAGCACACATAATGTAGCAAGATAATAATAATAATAATAAAACAAAAGGGTTATTTTTGTAGATTCATATTTGTAGTTGCAGTTTTCCAACAGGAAATATTGCATCTTGTTAGTGCTTCTTTTTTTTTTTGTTATTGTTGTTCCATGAGCTCTTAAATTTCCATTTTCCTATTTGTCTTTGACCTTGTAATGCTGTTCTCAGAGGATTTAATGCTAGATCTTTGATCAGAGAAGAAAAAATAAGAATAAGACATCACAAGATGTCAGATTTCAAGGTTTGTAACTTGTGGACGGTTGTTCCATTTCATTCCAGTTCAAGTCAACTTTATTGTCATTCT